GTCTGGAACTGGCACCAGACGCCCTCCCTCCCTCCAACCTTCCCGAGGCCACAGGGCGCCCCCCGCTTCCCCCCACTCCCATTGATACTTATTTCATTTTTTGAGACGGAGTCTCACTCTGTCCCCCAGGCTGGAGGGCAGTGCTGCGATCTTGGCTCACGGCAGCCTCCACTGCCCGGGTTCAGGTGATCCTCCTGCCTCGGCCTCCCGAGTACCTGTCATTACAGGTGCCCACCGTCGTGCTCCCCGATTTTTTGTATTTTTTAGTACAGACGGGTTTCGCTACGTGGGCCAGGCTGGTCTGGAACTCCCGACCTCGTGATCCGCCCTCCTCGGCCTCCCAAAATGCCGGGATTACGGGCGTGAGCCGCCGCGCCTGGCCGAAGGTGGGGTTTTGAGGCTTTTGTCCTGAACGGGCTGCTTCAACCTCCGAGTTTCCTCCGTGGGACACGGAGCCTCCCTGACGGTTACGGATCCAGCGGACGGAGGCGGTGGACTTGATCTCACTAAGTTTATTGTACCGTCCTCATCATCGTCCTTTGAGATGGAGTCTCGCTCTGTCGCCCAGGCTGGAGTGCGGTGGTGACATCCTCTGCCTCCTGGGTTCAAGCGATCCTCCCGCCTCAGCCTCCCGAGTAGCTGGGATGACAGGCACACGCCACCACGCCTGGCTAATTTTTGTATTTTTAGTAGAGACGGGGTTTCCCCATGGTGACCAGGCTGGTCTCGAACTCCCGACCTCAGGTGATCTGCCCACCTCGGCCTCCCGAAGCGCTGGGGTGACAGGCGGGAGTCACCGCACCCGGCCCCTGCTGTGGCTTTACGGTGGCAGGCAGCCACTATCCCGCTGTGTGTGTCTTCCCACCCTCGCGAGACCGTGGCTGGCCTTCCTGGAGGGAAACGTGGCTTTCTGGACCCCGTGTTGAGTTCTGCTTTTCAGCTTCGGGGGAGGCTACCGACGGGTAAGTCTCCGGGACCCCTCCAGGTCTGTCTTCCAGAACCAAGAAAGGGTGGCCCGGGCCGTCTTGGGGCACTCGCTTTCCCAGGCTTGCTGTGGAGCGTGGGTGGGGGAGGGTTGGGGCTGCAGGTCTGAGAGGCTGAGGCCACACGCTGCATTTCCAGCCTCTCTGGGGTCTGCTGGGGGGGCAGCCACACACGCCCACGTCGGCCACGTCAGCCACGTCTGCCAGTGCAGTCCAGCCTGGGTGACAAGAGCCACACTCTGTCTCCAAAGACAGACACGGGCAGCGGGGAGTCGATGGTTCCCAAGCTTTGCAGCCTGGTGGCCGCCTGCGTCACGCGGCTCCCTGCCCTGGGCGTCTGATCTCTCCTGCAAGGCTGCTGTGAGTGGGGCCGAGGCCCAGGCAGGTAGGACAGGGGCTCTGGGCGTCTATCACCAGGGGAGGGGCGTGCGTCCCACTGTCCTGCTGTGGTTGTACCCGTGAGCTGTTGGCCACAGCTGCCACCCAGGTCCATCGTGGTTTCAGGGCAGAGCTGCGTGCTGGGGGCTAGGGACCCGCCGGGAGCTGCATTGCCGTGATGTTATCTGTGCACCTCGGGGGGCCTCCTTCCCAATGGGGCCTCGTTCCCCCCTCTGGCTGCTGTTCCGTGAGGTCAGGCTGTGCCACACTAGGGAGATGGGGTGACTCTGTCCCCACAGAGGGGCTGTTCTCGTGGCCGCCTCGTGGCCAGGGCCCCCTCATGTGGTTAGAGCCGCCATGGTACCTGATGCAGGGGTGGACACAGGTGTACCACGGGCAGGACACGGGCCAGCGAGGGACCCGTGGGAGGCTGCAGTGAAGACCCGGCCACCATGAGGAAGAGCCAGGGCAGCCCCCACCCAGGAGCTGCGTGGGCTCATCCTGTGGCCAACGGGGGCGGCCGGGGGCTGTGACGGGGAGAACTGAGCCCGCTCCCCAGGCCCCGACTGGGGTTTGTGGCCGCCGAGCCTGGAGGGGCCGGGGCCGGGGGCCCTCCCTGCCCTTCCACGGTCTGCCCGTGGGTCACAGGGAATGTGGTTTGAGCTCCCGGCAGTTGTGCAGGGCGAATGGCTTCGTCTGCAGGTGTCAGACTGCAGGGTTTGGGCTGGGCGGGGTCTGTGACCAGCCTGAGTCCCATGAGCCACAGGATGTGGTGTCTCAGGGCTCCTGTGCTGCACGGCTCCAACCCCTCGGCCTGGGCCCGGCGCTCGGGGGCGCCACGCTGGGGAGGAGCGCGGCCTCTGCTCATTCCCGACCTCTGTGAGTCACAAAGGTCTATCTGTCCCCACACTCCGTCCCCCCTCCTCCCTGGGAGGTCTGTTTCCTCCAGAAACTGCTGGGTGTGGCTGGGTCCGGCTCTGCGTCTGCGTCACTTCGGCATCTGATGCCCACCACCGTTCTGCCCCAGCTCCGTCTTTCCTCCCCCTCTCCCCCATCTACACCTCCCCTCCCCCCATTCTCCCCTTTCTCTTTCCACACCTCTCCTCCCCCTCCCTTCTCTCCCCCACTCCTCATCCTTTCTTCCATCCTCCCCCCAATCCACCTGCCCCCCACTCCCCCCCATCATCCATCCTTCTGGTCAGGGAGACCCAGGTGCTTGTTTTGTGGGGGTCCGCAGCCCCCCTCACAGGTGGACTGCAGCAAAAGTGTGTGTGTGCACGGCAGGCAGAGAGGCAGTCCTGGGCGTGGGTCAGGGACTGGGGAGGGAGGGGGTGCCTGTGGAATGCGGGGAGCACGGGGCTGCGGGGGGCACTCGGAGGCGTTCAGGGGCCTCAGCAGGGACACGGGGTGGGGAAGCCGCTGTATTCACTTTCATGGCCCCAGGGAGGCCTCTGCCATCTCGGCCTCCCTCGAACCCCCACGGGGTCTCCTCGTAGTGTCAGTGCTGCAGGCTGAGGGGCCCCCCTGGAGGTGACCCCCCACCATGGGCTTTGGCTTGCAGCTGTGTGTGCAGGGGGGAGGTGCTTTTCTGAGGCAGTGCAGGGGACGTGCTACCCGGAGCTCAGGGCGGGGAGGGGGGGGCGTGCAGGCCGTGACTCCCGGGTCATTGTCCTGCAGCGGCCGGGAACCGCCTGCCTCCACCCCCAGCCCCCTGCCCCAGCCCCGGTGTTGGGGACGATGAGCCTGACCCTTGGCAGACCCAGGTGCGGGCGTCCTCGGGGCATCCAGGAGCACCTGCTGACACTGTGGCTGCCTTGGGGGCAGCAGCCGTCCCCTGGGCGGTGTGGCCCTGTGCCCCCAGCCGAGCCCCCGCCATCTCTCCTCGGTCACGGGACCACCCTGTGCGCCCACCTTGGTCACGGCCACGCGTCCCGGTGGACGAACGGGGCGTGTGTGTTGCTCTCGGGGTGGCCCCGGCCCCCCTCCTTGCGTGTGTGACGGAACACCCTCCATTTATTCCAAAACAGAAGTGTGACCGCCACACAGGCTTTGTGCTTCCCACAAAACGCTCCTGCAGGCCGAGGGGCTCCGTGCAGGACGGGGGAGGGGTCCGGGGCCGCCCCTTTCCTGGGAGACGCTGCCGCCGGGGAGGTCGGGTCACCGCGGGGACTGCAGAGGCTGGGGGTGTCCGTGTGGGAACCTGTCCCGTTCCCGAGCGGCCCCAGAGTGTCCCCCAGGCCGGTCCCCCCGGCCCCACAGCTCCAGGCAGGTGCAGCCACTCCCCCTTCCCACGCCCCCGCCGCCCCGAGCCGGCAATGACGGCGCCTCTGAATAAATAAAAATTTATCATTCCATACAAACGCACGCGTTTTCCGCAAAAGACAACGACGGGACGGTTTCCACAGCGGCCGCGCGGACCCCCGTGGGCGGCGTCACAGCGGCTGCAGGTCCTCGTCCCCGCACGCGAACTCGTACAGGTCCACGGAGCCCAGGGGCGACGGCGCCTCGAAGAACGGCCTCTGGGCCAGGGGCGACCGCAGCGCACTCAGCTTCTGCTCCACGGGGCTGAGCTCGGCCTCGAACCTGCAACGAGAGGATGGTGAAGCCGCGGGGGCCGCGCGAGGCGACGCGCCCTGGAGACGGCGCCATGTTTTCCGGAAACGCAGGCCGCTGGGCCGCCAGCCCCGAGCCCCGAAGCCGACCTGGAGCTGCAGGCGCTGACCCAGCTGGGGTGCGGCCTGCGGTCACAGGACGGGCTGGAGCCCCCGGCACGAGGTCCCCACCGCGGCCTTCCTACCGGGGGAACCTGGGTGGCGCGCGTTTCCCCGAAGCTACGCGACAGTGACTCAGAGCAGCGCTGACCCGCCTGGACGTGCTGCGGTGTCCGCACGAGAAGGCAGAACAAAAGCCCAGGATGGGAAACGGTTTCCGAAACGGCGCAGCCGCGCTCGGCTTAGACGGATTCTCCCAACACGCACAGGAGAGCTCCGGGGGACCGGACCACACAGCAGCACCAGGACTGGACGTGCGCCCGCGGTGAGCGTCTCGGCAGTGACGGGGGCACCACCCGGGGCCACCAGCCGCACAGACCCTCGGAGATGCCGTGTGGACACGTCTGCTCTCCAAGACGCCCCCCGAAGCCTGGCGCTGAGCTCCCCACAGGCCCGGTCACCCCGGCCACGGATGTGAGTGCCGCCAGCCAGGGCGGGAGTGGACATGGGGGAGGTGGCACGTGGCTACCTGAGCGCAGGTATGGGCGGCAATGGCGGTGGACACTGGTCAGGTGGGGAGAAGGCGGACAGGGGAGGAGGAGAATGGGGAGAGGAGGAAGAGACAGATGGTCGGGGCACAGCGGGAGCCCCAAGAGCCCGGCAGGAACAGGAGGGGAGTCTGGGGAGGGGCGGGGGTTACAATGCAGCTCTGTGGCGACCATGGGTCGGGAACAGGAGAGTGTTTTGAGCTGCCTGTAAGTGAGGACGCCTGACCCGGCGGCTCCCAGTGCCCACTGAGAAGACAGGAAAGGGCCTCGGGCGTCAGCGGCCCACGCTGCTGCGGGAAGGCACGTGGAGAACAGAAGGAAAACCCGAACAAGGCCACCAGAACATCAGTGGTACTCGTGGTTCCGTGACAAGATTGAAATCGATCGTCCTTACCCATGCCGATCATACAGAAAAACAAATCGGAATCAGGCACGCGGGAGACGCCAGCGCCGTGGAAGCCGCAGGTGTTAAACTCCCAAGCAGGAAACATCACCGACGGTAACGAAACCACTTCGGTGAACGCGCCAGTGTCTGAGGCGCGCACACCAGCAAGGCTCCCTCAAGGGCGGAGGCGGGGGCTCAGGCCTGTCATCCCAGCACTGGGGGCCGGAGGCGGGCCGGACCCTTGAGCTCACGTGTTCAGGACCAGCCTACACCGCATCTCCCCAAAAATCCGGGCGCGGTGGCGCTCCCGTCATCGCAGCTACTCCGGGGGCTGAGGCGGGGGGACCCCTTAAGCCCGGGAGGTGGAGGCTGCAGTGAGCCGAGACTGTCCCACTTCCCTCCAACCTGCATGACAGAGCCAGACCGTCCCCCCTAAAAAAGAATCACGGACGTGGCCTCAGCCGGTTTCTGATACGGTCACTTATTTTTTGTGAGATGGAGTTTCGCTCTTACTTCCCAGGCTGGGGTGCAATGGTGCCATCTCGGCTCACGGCAACCAGCATCTCCCGGGTTCAAGCACTTCTGCCTCAGCCTCCCGGTAGCCGGGATTACCGGCGTCTGTGCCACCATCTCTCTCTCTGTCGTAGAGACGGGGTTTCACCATGTGGCTCAGGCTGGTTTCGAACTCCCGGCGTCACGTGATCTGCCCGCCTCGGCCTCCCAGTGCAGGATTAGAGGCGTGTGCCACCACACCGGCTGAATTTGATTTTTAGTTGGAAGCCTCTCACGAAGCTGCCGTTCCCAGTGGCCTCCCTGGCCCATTCCACCAAACGGGTCCAGGAAATTCAAGAAAATTCCGGTAACTACAGTTCTGGGGGGAGCACAGCGGGGCATGCGTTGCCCTGACGGTAGTCATGGCTTTGTGGCTATGAAGGTACATCAAGGCGCAGGCATGGGCACCCCCAAAACGTCCGTCGTACCACAACAGAGCGAGCGGTTATTGAAAAACCCAGGCCCCCCCGGGGTCACTGGTGAATTCTAGCAGCCATCGAGGAACGAAGAAACAGGAGTGTCTACACGCTCTTCCAGAAAACACGGGAGAGAACACTGCTCCCCCTTCCCTGAGCCCGCATTACCCCGACACCAAAGCCAGACCCAGATATCGGCAGAAAATCAGCCGGCCGGGCGCGGGGGCTCACGCCTGCAACCCCAGCCCTTTGGGAGGCCGAGGAGGGAGGATCACTTGAACCCAGGAGTTTGGGGCCGGCCTGGGCAACACAGTAAGACTCTCTTAAAACAAGAAGCTGGGTGTGAGACGCAGTCCTGTCGTCCCAGGTGCTCGGGAGGCCGAGACGGGAGGATCACCTGAGCCCGGGAGGTGGAGGCCGCAGAGAGCTGAGATCCCACCGCTGCACTCCAGCCCTGGTGACAGTGAGACCCCGCCTCAAAAACTCAATCAGCAAACAAAACGCTGCAGATAATCAATACTATACGAGGGTAACGTATGACGCAGGAAGATTTATCCTGGGAACACAAGGCCGGCTGAAAACGACGCAGTGTGACTGACTTTATGGCCACAGACAGGAACCACGGAGCGAAAGCATGTGAGAAACCCAGCCCCGGCTGTGAGGACGCCTCCGAAGACCAGGCCTAGTGCGGCACCCGCTTACTGCTGCGTCAGGGGAGACGGCCCCCAGGGCTGGGAACCATGGCCGTGCGCCCTGGCTCCCCCCAGCCCCCCAAATCACACTGCAGCTTCCAGGCCAGGCAGCAGGCCAGAGGAAGATTACAGGTGGCTGAGGCCTGTCATCCCGGCACTTCGGGAGGCCGAGGCGGGCGGATCAGCAGGTGAGGAGTTGGAGACCAGCCTGGCCAACATGGTGAAGCCCCGTCTGTAGTAAAAATACAAAAAGTAGCCGGGTGTGGTGGCGGGTGCCTATAATCCCAGCTATTCAGGAGGCTGAGGCAGGAGAATTGCTTGAACCGGGGAGGTGGAGGCTGCAGTGAGCCGAGATCACGCCACTGCACTCCGGCCTGGAGCCACAGCAAGACTGTCTTAGAAAGAAAAAAAGCAATACAGAGCGCGGTGGGAGGGCAGGAAACGTGCCCACTGACGGACACGGCGCTGTCCACGCAGGAAACGCCAAAGACCCTGCTGAGCGCGTTTGCGTCTAGTCAGCGGATTTCCCGAAGGCGCAGAGCACAAGGTCGATAAACGTATTTCTAGATGCTGCCGACAGGTAACAGGAGACAGGAATCTCAAAAGGACCGTTTAGAACCCCAGGAAACCCACAAAACGCTCAAGTAGACACGTCACAACATCCGGCCGGGAGAAAGGAGAGGCCGTAACTACGGCTGACGGACGGCGCCCGTGGACCGGGCCACGCAGGGCGACGAAGCGGGCAGCTGGGCCCACGGCTCCGTCCACTCGGCAAGATCTCACTGAAAGTGCGGATTTTTTTTTTTTTTTTTTTTTGAGACGGAGTCTCGCTCTGTCGCCCAGGCTGCAGTGCGGTGCCGTGATCTTGGGTCACTGCCACCTCCGCCTCCGGGCGCAAACGGTGTTGCCGGCACGCTGTCGTAAAACGTTTAGTAGAGACGGTTTCGGCACGTCGGCCAGGCTGGTCTCCAACTCCCGACCTGAAGCGGTCCCGCCACCTCGGCTCCCAAAGTGCCGGCACTGCAGGCGTGGGCCCCCGCGCCGGCCTCCGCAGAACGTTTTGTAGAAGCAGCTCACTTTTATATAAAGGCAAAAAAACCCGCAGAGCCAGCACGGGTCGGAACAGCAAAGGACTGAGGGGCTCGGGACGGGATGGCGACAGTGGCCACGTCGCTCCCCACCCACGCCGGAGTCCAACACGCATTTCCACGGGGAGGACGGGCTGAGTCTAAAATTCTAAAACGGCCCCGACAGCCCCACGTGCCACCGGAGTCGCAGGCTTCTCCCCGCAGGAACGGACCGCACACGGCGTGGCTGCTGCCACCACGCCCAGGCCACCCCGTGGCTTTGCAGAGGTGGTGCTGGGACAGCTGGACACTCCGAGGACAACGGGAGCCTCCCTCCGACCTTCACACCCCACGGGAACGGTTACTCAACTGGACCTGAGACCCCAGTCAAAACAGCAAAACGTGGAGGGGAAATCTCTGGGTTTGTGTTGGGGAACGAGTTCTCAGAAAACACAGCACATGCTCAGCTGCAAAAGTCACACGCTAGTCAGCGCCACTCCCTCCACGTTCACAGCACCGCGCGGACACCACGTGAAGACGGCGAAGACACACGTCAGAAACTGCGGAAAACGTCAACGTCACAGATAAAGGGTCTGTGTCCTGAGAAAGCCTTCAACCCGGGGAGAAAGCAGTCGGCCCGGACGGCCTCCTGGGGCCTCCAAGGCTGGAAGGGGACAGGGGACCCAGAATGGCCTCAGGCCCGGGGGAGGCCGGCAGCCACCGACCCCGCAGCCCGCCCGGCAGGCGCCAGCCGTGGGCTGAGAACACACGTGCACAGGGAAACGCGTCTTCACTCGGCCTCGCTATTCCTCACCTGGTATGTGAAGCCTGAGAGCCAGGATCACCGAACTCCACACGGCTGTCCTCTCCTGTCACATCCCCCCACCCCTCCTCACTGACCCCGCATCCCCCGTGTCCCCCCTCACTGCCGTATGTGTCCCCTCCTCACTGCCCGTGTCCCCCCCTCACTGACCTCGTGTCTCCCCTCACCGCCCCATTTCCCCCCCACCGCCGTGTTCCTCCTCATCGCCCCCATCTTCCCCTCACTGCCGTCCCGTGTCACCCTTCACCGCCCCCCGTGTCCCTCCCCCCACCGCCCCCGTCCCCTGCAGGCACTCACCCGTCCTCCCAGGGCTCTCCCGCAGCCTCCTCGGCCACCAGGATGTCGTACTCCTCGGCCGCGTACTTCTCCCAGTCCGAGAGTTCGGAGCTGCTGCTGTCACTGTCCTGGAGGAAGCGCGCATGTGAGGGACACGCGTGTCGCAGCCCAGGCTGTCTGCCCGTCTGCTGAACACGAGGTTCTCGCACTGTGACACCAGGGCCTGCAGTGCTGGCCTGAGTCACAGAGTCAGAGAAAGGGGGAACCCTGGCCTAATCCCGCCTCACAGGGATCTCACCGGTCCGAGCCTCTCCCCAGGCGTCTTCCCCCAGGCTGTCCCCTACCTGGCCATCCTCCTCCCCCATGCCCCATTCTCTCCTACCCCACCTCTTCCCCTGTCTCTCCGGGCAGTCCTCCAGTCCCGCACCTCCCCCTGCCCGTCCCCTCTCCTAGGCCCTTCCCCCCCGCCCTCCCCCGCCCGTCCCCTCTCCCCCGGCCGCCCTGCTGCCTGTCCCCTCTCCCCCGGCCCTTCCCCCCCCCCCACCCGTCCTGTCCGTTACCAGTCCCCTCTCCCCGGGCCCTTCCAGCCGCCCCCGTCCGTCCCCTGTCCCCTGCCTGTCCCCTCTCCCTGGGTTCTTCCACTCCCCCCCGTCCGTCCCCTGTCCCCTCCCCGTCCCCTCTCCCCGGGTCCTTCCACTCCCCCCCGCCTCGCGCTGACCCTGAGCAGGGACAGCTGCTCTTTCTGCTCGTGGTCCAGGTACTTCTCGATGTTGAAGAACGTGTCGAAAAAGACGTGGGCGAGCTTGCAGCGCTTCAGGTCCTGCAGCGTGATCCTCCCTGCGGGGGCGGAGCGGGTCCGAGGCGTGAGCGCGGCCTCCCTTGCGGAGCCCGCGTGTGCTGCCCGTGGACGGTCACACGGGCTCCAGCTCCCAGGCAGCGCGTGGAACGTGAAGGGCGGACACGGGAGGCGGCCCTGGGCGGGACCGGCGCGGGAGAACGGTGCTGGGGTCACCTGCGCCCGAAGGATGCGTGGGCTGGGACGGGGAAAGGTGCGGGGAGGCGCGGACAACGGGGACCCCTGCATGTGAAATTACGGAGACCGGAGCTCCCGGCGCAGGTGGCACCAGAGAGCTTGCCCCCCGCCCCCCATACTGACAACCAGGGGGGCCACGCACAGGGCGGTGCGGCTGGCAGGGGCGTGACAGTAGGAAGGGGCGTGGCGGGGGAGGGGCGGGGCTGTGGGAGGGGCGTAGTGGAGGGAAGGGCGGGGCGGCAGGAGGGACGGGTCCGCAGGGAGGGGCGGGGCGGCCTCAGAACCATGTCCAAGTGAAAGCCCGGAGCTGGATCCCGAGACGCAGGGCAAAGCCAGGCAGCTGGGTGGGCACGCTCTGCTCTGCTTTAGAGGGCACTGGGTGGGGGTGCAGGAGGAGTTGGTGCAACGGGTGGGGTACAGTGGTGAGGGGAATAGACGGGTAAAGACTGCCTTGTGCGGCCTCAGCAGGAACCCGGCCCTTGGTCCCTCAGCCTGGTGCCCACGGCCCCTGTGAGCCCCGGCCCTGGGCTCTGCAGGTCACCGAAGGGGTGCCCACGTCCTCAGCACGACGTTCTGGCACCCCGACACCAGGGACCTGCGCCGCTGCCCTCCTCACAGTGGGCGTGGCCCTTTCCCAGGGTCCCTTCGCAGCAGGGACACTGCTCCCAGGGGGATGTCCTCATTCAGGCTCCTCCCCTCACCCTGGGCCCTCCCCGCTCACCGTCCCCCCACACCCGGACCCCCTCACCCCAGGCCGTCCCCGCTCACGCGGACCCCCTCATCCGTCCCCCCCCAACCCGGGCCGTCCACCCTCACCCCGGGCCGTCCCCCTTCATGCGGACCCCCTCATCCGTCCACCCCCACCCCGGGCCGCCCTCTAACCCGTCCACCCTCCCCCTGGCCTGTGCCCTCGCGCGGCGTCACCTTCGGTCCTCGGCTTGACGAGGTCCAGCATCTGGCAGAGGCAGTCCTGGAAGGGCAGGGCCTCGATGGCCATGCTGTCCAGCCTCCGGCACTGCTCCTCGTAGAAGTACTCCAGCTCGAACATGGACAGGGCGCCGTCCCCGTCCAGGTCCATGCACCGGAACCAGTACTCGATGCTGCGGCCCGAGAGCTGTGAGCGTCCCAGACCCCCGCCCCGGGCCCTCCTGGCACGCCCCTGCAGCCCCAGGCCCCGCAGCAGGCGTGCACACATCCACTCGCAGACGCATGTCACAGGCCAGGCTCCCAGCTCCTCCACCATTAGAGGAGCACGCTGTGGCGGGGACCCACCTGGTCGGCGTCTTCTTGTCTTCTTCCGAGATGAGAAACCACACGAAGTCGGCGTAGCTGATCTTGCCCTCCTTCTGCACTCTTCTGCCTCTAGATTGGAGGCCAGGATGGACAGACGAAGACGCCGTCAGGGAGGGCAGCACAGGCAGGGGGCCCCTGCCCACGTCCCCGGGCGAGAGGAGGCCCCAAGACCCAGCCTTCCTCCTGCTCCTCCAGGGGGGAGACAAAGGCCACGCGGCCACACGGCTTCCCCCAGGTCCAGGCGGGGTCCCCCCATCACTGCCACGGCCCCGGGTGCCCGCAACGACCCCTTCTCAGGGCTCACGGCGCCCGACAAAAACCCTGGCCTGGGCCATCCCCTTCCTCGGACCTCACGTGACAAAGGTTCTTGTGTCCCCCCGCCCCACGCGGGGGCAATGAGATGGCCCCGAGCCCTCACTCGGCAGTGGCCGACGTCAGGAGCCTGAGCCGCACGTACCGCGTGACCGCTCCCGAGAAGATCCTGTCGATCATCTTGGTGGAAATGGCTGCAAAGGAATTGGGGCTGATGAACAGCCCGCACGGGGCCTCGGCCATGATGCCACGACCCCCAGGGCCGCGCCTGGACGCCGCGCGGACCGAATGCCGGGAGGCGGCCTGAGTCTGGGACGGGCCTGGGGCCCCTACGCCCCTGCAGGCTCCTCACGGGTGCCCACCGCACTTTCCCGTCAAGCGGGGCCAGGCCCAGCATCAAGCCCACGGTGTGCAAAGCTGACTGCGGCTCAAAGAACAGTTTCTCAAGAGCGGAGCATTCACGCGTGCCTCAAAGGTTCTGCTTCTACACGGACAGTTCGATCACAAGAAGAAACACGTTTCAACCGAATGTCACAAGAGGCAAGAGTGAACGCACTGCGGCCGCCAGCCCTGGCGCTTGCTCTGTCCCAAGCCGGCCGTCCCTGAGGTCACCAGGGTCTCCGGGACGCATGGGGCCAAGATGCCCGCAGCTTCAGGCCGCGCCACGTGAGAAACAGCCCAGCCGGCCGCACCCGCCACCCTGCCCCAAGGCCCAGATTGGGCCCCACAGGAACAGAGAGACCGGCGGCCGGCACGCGTTCACAGGGGCACGAGCGCTGGGTTCTGGGCTGACTCCCAGCTGTGCGAGCGTTCGCACGGGCCACGCAGGGCGGCTCTGCGGGGCTGCGCTCCTTTCACAGCTAGTTACGGGGCTCAGGGCTTAGGTGTCTCCCTGAACTGCGTGAGGAACAGATCCGGGAAATGCTACGTCTGCTCAGGTGCGCATCCTACGCCGGCTGAGTGGGGTCCACCATGGCCACGTGGCCCAGGGCCAGCCGCGGAGACGCAGGTGGGCGGGGCTCACCCTCGGGGAACCACGCAAAACACGCAGGCGAGCTCAGAAATACTCTTCTTGTTAATAAGATTTTCTTCGGGGGTGGGGGAGGGAAGGAGACTTAAGAAAGCCACACAGGAATACGTCGGTTTTGGCTCCTGGAAGTCTCCGTGAGCCTGTGAGGGAAGGGTCTGCGCGCTCTCTCGGGTCCTAACGATGAAGACCTGCGACGATGGTGTCGCAAACGGGCGGCTGTCGGAGCCTCAGGACCAGCGGACCACACTGACCCTGTAGGCGCCAGCCGCCAGAGGTGTGGTGCAGGGACGCACGCCGGGACCCAGACACAAGGAGTGGCCTGGGGAAGGAGAGGCAGCTGCGGGCCCGGGAGGCCCGTGAGAGAAGGCGCTCGCTGTTTCCATGCTCCGCCTGCTCCTCTGCCCTGCGCACTGTGCTGGGTGTCCCCGCGCCCGCCCGCCCCTCGGCCCCACGCACCGTGGTCACTGCGCTCCGTGTCCCCGTGCCCTGCCCACCACTCTGCCCCACGAACTGTGGTCATTGCGCTCCGTGTCCCCGCGCCCCGCCCATCCCTCTGCCCCACGCACCATGGTCATTGCACTCGGTGTCCCCGCGCCCCGCCTGCCGCTCTGCCGCACGCACCGTGGTCATTGTGCCGCGCCAGGTCGTGCGCGTCGATGAGCAGGTCGTGGTCCGTGTCCAACTCCCAGAACTTGCAGTAAATGACGTAGAAGTGCTCGTAGGAGAAGAACTCGGTCAGCTGGTTGATGTCCGCCTCCTCCTCCAGCAGCGCTACGTTCTGCCAAAGGACACGGTGGGGGGGGGCCTGAGCGCGGGGCCTCCGAGGAGACGCCCCAAGGCCGGGTGCCTGCGGGCAGGAGGAAAGCTGGGGCGGAGGGCGGGATCACTCCGTGAGTGGTGGGGACTGGGCAGCTGTGGTGGGGGGTGCTCCCAGTGGGGGCAATTCCAGGTTGGGGAGCTCCAGCATGGAGGCAGCTTGCTAGGCGGGAGTGGGGGTGTGTAGTCCCAGGTCTACACTGGGACTGGGAGCCCTCCCAGGACCTGGGGAGGCGGAAGGGAGGGGGTGGGAGAGAAAAAGCGGAGGGAAGGGAGAAGACAGAGGGAGGGGAGGGGGAGAAGAGGGGAAAGAGGAGATGAAGGGGAGGGAGTGGGG